CTCCCAACAGCAACCTCTGGGACACCATTTCCTGAAACCACTTCTAGTGCATCTCTTGCAGCCTCAAGGGCAATGGCTGCTTCATCTGGCACCCCAACAGCAATCTCTTTGACACCATCTCTTGAAAATAGTTCCAGTGTACCACCAGGAACTTCAGGGCCACTGCATGCCTCAACAATTCTCCCAACAGCAACCTCTGAAACACCATCTCCTGAATCCATTTCTATGCCACATTCAGGAGTAACAGGGACACTGGGTGCTTCATCCAGACTCCCAAAACCAACCTCTGTGACACCATCACTTGAAAATAGTTTTACTGTACCACCAGGAACCTCAGGGCCACTGCATGTCAAAACAAATCTCCCAACAGATACCTCTGGGACACCATTTACTGTTTTCACTCCTAGTACACATTCAGAGGCAAAAGGGACCCTGGCTGCTTTATTAGGACTCTCAACAGCACTTACTGGAACACCATTTCCTAAAATAACGTTAACTGCTCCCTCAAGAACCTCAGAGCCACTAGATGCTTCATCAAGTCTCCCAACAGCAACATCTCGGACACCATTTCCTGAAACCACTTCTAGTGCTTCTGTAGCAGCCTCAAGGGCAATGGCTGCTTCAGCTGACACCCCAACAGCAACCTCTTTTACATCATATCCTGAAAATACTTCCAGTGTACCACCAAGAACCTCAGGGCCACCGCATGCCTCAACAAATCTCCCAACAGCAACCTCTTGGACACCATTTCCTGAAACAACTTCTAGTGCATCTCTTGCAGCCTCAAGGGCAGTGGCTGTTTCATCTGGCACCCCAACAGCAATCTCTTTGACACCATCTCTTGAAAATAGTTCCAGTGTACTACCAGGTACCTCAGAGCCACTACATGCCTCATCAAGTCTCCCAAAAAATACCTCTGGGACCCCATTTTCTTTTTTCACTCATAGTACACATTCAGAGGCAAAAAAGACCCTGGCTGCTTTATTAGGACTCTCAACAGCACTTACTGGGACACCATTTCCTAAAATAACGCTAACTGCTCTCTCAAGAACCTCAGAGCCACTAGATGCTTCATCAAGTCTCCCCACAGCAACATCTCGGACACCATTTCCTGAAACCACTTCTAGCGCATCTGTAGCAGCCTCAAGGGAAACGGCTGCTCCAGCTCAAACCCCAACAGCAACCTCTTTTACATCATCTCCTGAAAATAGTTCCAGTGTACCACCCAGAACCTCAGGGCCACCGCATGCCTCAACAAATCTCCCAACAGCAACCTCTGGGACACCATTTCCTGAAACCACTTCTAGTGCATCTCTTGCAGCTTCAAGGGCAGTGGCTGCTTCATCTGGACCTCCAACAGCAATCTCTTTGACACCATCTCTTGAAAATAGTTCCAGTGTACTACCAGGTACCTCAGAGCCACTATATGCCTCATCAAGTCTCCCAAATAATACCACTGAGACACCATTTACTGTTTTCACTCATAGTACACATTCAGAGGTCACAGGGACACTGGCTGCTTTAATAGGACTCTCAACAGCACTTACTAGGACACCATTTCCAAAAATAATGTTAACTGCTCCCTCAAGAACCTCAGAGCCACTAGATGCTTCATCAAGTCTCTCAAAAGCAACATCTGGGACATCATTTCCTGAAACCACTTCTAGTGCATCTGTAGCAGCCTCAAGGGCAATGGCTGCTTCATCTGGCACCCCAACAGCAATCTCTTTGACATCATCTCCTGAAAATAGTTCCAGTGTACCACCAGGAACATCAGGGCCACTGCATGCCTCAACAATTCTCCCAACAGCAACCTCTGCAACACCATCTCCTGAATCCACTTCTATGCCAAATTCAGGAGTAACAGGGACACTGAGTGCTTCATCCAGTCTCCCAAAACCAACCTCTGTGACACCATCGCTTGAAAATAGTTCTACTGTACCACCAGGAACCTCAGGGACACAGCATGCAACAACAAATCTCCCAACAGATACCTCTGGGACACCATTTACTGTTTTCACTTCTAGTACACATTCAGGGACAACAGGGACCCTGGATACTTCATTAGGACTCTCAACAGCACTTACTGGGATTCCATTTGCTGAAACACTTTCAACTGCACCTGCAGGAACCTCAGGGCCACTAGATATTTCATCAGGTCTCTCAACAGCAATCTCTGGGACACCATCTCCTGAAACCGCTTCAAGTGCACATTTAGGAGCCACAGAGCCACTGGATTCTTCATTAAGTATCTCAACAGCAACCACTAGGATACCATCTCCTGAAACTACTTCTAATGCAACTCTAGCAGTCTCAAGTTCACTGGCTGCTTCATCAACTCTCCCCAGAGCAACTACTCGGACACCATTTCCTAAAGAAAATTCAACTGCTCCTACAGGAACCTCAGAGCCACTACATGCCTCATCAAGTCTCCCAACAGCAACCTCTGGGACACCATCTCCTGAAACCACTTCTATGCCACATTCAGGAGTAACAGGGACACTGGATGCTTCATCCAAACTTCCAAAACCAACCTCTGTGACACCATCTCTTGAAAATAGTTCAACTGTACCACCAGGAACCACAGGGCCACTGCATGCCACAACAAATCTCCCAACAGCTACATCTTGGACACCATTTCCTGAATCCACTTCAAGTGCATCTCTCGCAGCCTCAAGGACAATGGCTGCTTCATCCGGTTCCTCAAAGAAAACTACTGGGACACCATCTCTTGAAAATAGTTCCAGTGTACCACCAAGAACCTCAGGGCCACCGCATGCCTCAACAAATCTCCCAAAAGCAACCTCTGGGACACCATTTCCTGAAACCACTTCTAGTGCATCTCTTGCAGCCTCAAGGGCAATGGCTGCTTCATCTGGCACCCCAACAGCAATCTCTTTGACACCATCT